ATATATATATATATATATATTTATATTTATATTAAAAATTATCATTGTTTATTTGAGAGTCAAATTTAACCAGGCATCCTATATTTTACCTGGCAACCCTATACCTCCAGGTAGATAATTTTTTAATCTTTAAATCCCAGATCCATACATGCAAATGCGTTCTAGTGCAAATTATCACTTGAAGCCCCTTAAACACAACATATCCCAAACTACAATTATTATTTTCCAAAAAAATCCTCTTCTAGCCCTTCAGTAAATGGTATCAGAAACCGAGAAACTGATAAGTATTCCTGGACTCCTCTTTTACCCTCACACATCATATGCAATGTCTAAATTTGATCAATTTTAGCTAAACATGTTTAAATCTATTCTCTTTTCTCATTTTGTTCTTGAAATACTCAACCACTAAACACATCACATTCTCTCACTCCTCCATGACTTGACATACGCTGTTTTCTCTGCCTAAAACTCTTATTCAGTCATTATAACTCAAGTGCTACCTGCCCCGTGAAGCCTTCCTCTCCTTCCCAGACAGATAAAAGGCTCCTTCCTTTATGCACCCAATACATCTTACACAATTTTTTTTACAGCAATTACATAATATTATGATCTATACAGAAGTGGCACAAAGCAACAGAAAGAATACAAGTTTGAAGCCAGTTAAAACTAAGTTTCTACTATAGCTCTGATGCTTCCTTTAGGTTTGGGTAAGTTATTTAACCTCTCTTTGCCTCAGTTCCTTCATTTGTAAAATGGGGTAAGTATATGTATTAGTCCATTTCTGTTGCTTATAACATAAATACCTGAAACTGAGTGATTTATAAAGAAAACGAAATTTACTGCTTACAGTTTCAGAAGCTGGGAAATCCGAAGTCCAGGGAATACATCTAGTGGTGGCGATAGTGACCAGGGGTCTCACATGACAGAAAATGGCAGCACAAAGAGTGCAAACTTCTTATGTGCTCACCTTTTAAAGCCCTCAGAACCACATCCCTGACCACTACGGCATGGTCCTACAATCTAATCACCTCCTCAAGGCCTAGGACTTTCCTCCCTCTTTTGTCACAGAGGGGACTAAGTTTTGGGGGGCATTCAACCCAAAGCAGTATACTTCCCCCATATGTCTGTAGGGTTTAAATGAGAAGGTATAAGACTTGCTTAGCATAGCTTCTGGCAGGACGCACTCAACAAATATTACTTCTCTCATTCCTGTAACTTTTCTCTCCGTACACTATCAGTTGCAGAGGCCCTATCTTTTCACCTTTGTATCTCTTCTGAAAACAAAGTAACTGATAAAGCTTAGCATCCAGGTTAACGGTTTGGGCTCTTGAACCAAACTGCTGGGGTTTAAATCCTGGCTCAACCATCTACTAATTGTGTGACATTTAACAAGTTACTATCTGTGTCTCAGCTTCCTCATGTGTACAGTACTTAACTCAGGGTTGTGAGCATCAAATGTATTAATATGTGTTAACTGCTTACAACAGTGTTCAAGTTTTACGAATTATAGTAAGCGGGAACAAAACCTCACCGAATGAATGAATGAGAGCTCAACTATAACTTTAATACACAGAACAGACTCTTAGTATATCAGAAAATATTAAACAGTTTTGGTTTCTTGTCTTCTGTTTTCCAATATTCAAATGAGATTCAACAATGCAACATGGAAAACAGCACACACGATTTATTCAATTGGCTTTTCTATCATAGTCCACACCCTCAATCATGAAAACATATAGCCTGTTCACCTGAAAGCATTAATATAAACCAAAGAGAACTGTAGAGGTCCATTTAAATCCATTTAAATTTACAATTTTAATTTGTTTTTGATTGTAAAGCTGTTGGGAAGATTTCCATTATCACAATTTTTAAATAGAAAGAACAACTTAATTAACTTATAACACAATATATTACTGACAAGGTACAATGAAAGAAATATTGAAGCTGGAATTTTAAAAAACTGGTTTGTATCTCAGGTTTCCGTGGGACATTAGTGAAGTCACTTATTCCTTCAGCTCAGTTTCCTTATCTGTGAAACAGAGAGGCTCTATTATTCCAATTATTGAACACGTACTTCATGCCAGTTATTGTGCTACGGATTGGGGATTCAGGTAAAAAAAAACTAATCTCTGGCTTCAAAGAGACTGCAGTCTAGGGAGCAGGGAACGGCAGGATTAGTATAGCCAATATGAAAACAAAATTCAATGACCTATAGATGCCATAATAAAAGTTAATACTCTGTACAACAGAAAAAAAGGGAATGGTTAATTCTACCTGTGAGTGACAGTTAAACTATAGTTTGCAGGAGCATAGATTAAAAAAGGTGGGAAAGATGAGGGATGACACTGAAGAGGGTAACAAAGGCCTAAA